ATTCGACCTCACTACTGCACAAAAGGTACTATGATGTCTTCCTCGTGTCATCATATATCTCCCACTAGAATTGTATGCTGATAGAAGATTAACTTTTCGCAAACGCTGAGATCGGCTAGCTACGACGGAGGCCCTAACAAGCGTCCCCTACTCCTCGCTAAGCCTTTTTGGACGAGCTTTTACTGACGCCCGAGATCTGTGCCGGGAACGGTGTGTCTGAAATTATCTCGGCATACTCAGGCAGGAAGAAAGCAAACACATAACAAATATTATGGCCATTAGCAGTCGTCAAATGCGCTTTGAATCCGTTCGAGCACTTGTCTGAAGAATGTCGCACCGTGCGCCGGACGGGCATGCATGAACCCGTCTGACGCACTACCGGCGAACGGTGCGACATTCTTCACACAAGTGCTCGACTTTTGCATTCTTAAAACGGCCTGTATGCGCGAATTTGCCTATATGATTGCAGGATAACTTTATGCGCATACGCGATGTCGAATATTAGTGGAATGCAAGTGGGTAGGGACTTCACTTCGTGCAGTGCTGCGGGTCAGTACAAATAAGAGATAAGTGTGTTAAAATTGAGCTTTTCAATGGCACCTCCGAGTTCTACCTCGCGTACTCAGACACATTAAGAAAAACAGCAATTGCAAACAGTAATATTTCGTCTATGAACGCACGAAGCAAACTTCCTGATCAACAACACTAATGTAAAGGCGCGAGCTCGATGTATGCATACTTATTGGTTGCTACAGCTTGTTGATTCGTACACAAGCAAGATCCCCGAGCACCCGAGCTTCGCAGCGTCGAGACTCCCAGCACTGGCTCGTCCACATACCTCGATTGGAACGCTAACAGGAGGGCTCAAGTACAAAAATACGACAAGCATGTGTTAAGACAAGCTATACGTCTCTGGATTGTGCTAAAGCTTCGAGGTATGACCATTTAGCTTAGTTTAGAGACCACAAATGACGCTCTCGGGACCAGAAAACAATCTCTTGTCGACGTGTCGATCGAAACCGAAACCATGCCACCCTCCTCCCTGGCCAACTAGTTCCCGGAGTGCAACGCGCGCCGTGTTGCATGCAGGGCTTTATGGAAGTAGTCTATTGCCAACAGTTATATGTACAAAACAACTCATCTTGAAGTACACAACAGCGAGCGGAACAAATATAACTGCAAAGGAATCGCACGTACGGCAAACGGATCCCGAACACATTTCGTCTGCTGCACGCGAAAAAAAAAAAAAAAAAATCGCACGGTCGGGTGCCACTCAATTTCTCCTCATCTCGAGATGAGGAGAAATTGAGGAGAAGGTGCGGTGCGTGGGTTTCGATTTCAGTTGTAAGCAGTTGCGTTTTTTGGTTTTATTAAAAAAGTACGTGACTCTGTAGCAAAATATTAATTGGGTAGCATTCCGACACCATAATAAATCGCCTGGCAAAAAATAAAATAATATTTGGGGGGGGGGGGGGGGACCCGCTTCTCGATGAACCGCCTTTCGATGTCAAGAGATTGTCCCCGGACACGTGGGTTAGTGCATATTTCCACATGCACCCTCTCACTGACCGCTCTTAGTTTATCCAGTCCTGCCTCTATTTGTTTTCCCAGGTTCTGGCTCCTCCCGTTCAACACGAAGTTGAGTCCTGCGTAGATCAACATCAGGTTTTCCCCCTCCATTAATTGTCCCACAATACCTCCTCTGCTTTGGCAACGGCGTCTACCATGTAGTTTCCTGGCTGGGCCTCTACTCGCACCCTCACCTTGCCTAGCAATCCCTCTACGTTCCTTGCCACGTTGGAGTCTCCCACTACTAGGACTATCCTACCAGCCGACGGCTGCTCTCCTTCTCCTGGCACTACGCTGCCACCCCCTCCATTTACTACCGGTAGCAGGTTGGGCTCAGGGCCGGATGCAGGAATTTCCTGAGAGGAGGGGGGGGGGGTCAGGTGTTGGTCAGCGTACTATATGTTTAGGAGCCCCCTCCCCCTCTCCCTCGTTTCATGCCCTAAATTTTACACATGCAGAAATCGAGAGGGGGGTCAGGACATCCGGACGCCGCCTCGAAATCCGCCCCTGGTTGGGCTCTACCAATACAGCCGTTTCCTTCTCCTTTTGCGCGGCTTCACTGTAGGTCCTAGGAACCTCCTTCGTGCCCGCACTGCACGCTCCCTGCTTTCTGGCCCCTTGAATCATAGGCACTGCCGTCGCTGTCGACTCCCTCTTCATCTCTTCCCACTGTGCTTGTAGGTCGACCCTTTTCTCGACCTCTACTCTGAGAATTTCCTGTAATTCTGTCATCATTGCTTGACCTTTCTCGTTCTTCCCCTTCTCTAATTACACCGATGACGCGCTACACTCTATCCTCGCACTCCTTTTTCCCTCTTCTAGCCCTGCCTGAGCTCCTCCACCTGCTTCTCAAGCTCTGCCCGCTTCTCCCTTTCCTCATTAAGCTCAGCCTGCCATTGCACTTCGGGCGCCCCCCCCCCCCCTTCAACTCAGTGACCTGTTTCGAGCAGGACCCGCTTTTCCCGGTCTTCCTTCAGTTCCTCCTTCATCTCTTCGAATTTATCCCTGCACTCTCGTTCTAGCCTTCCCAAGCCTTCCTCAATCTTCTCATAAAGTTGGCAAGCGAAGGTACTTTTCTCTGCTTCAGCTACGCTCTCGAAGTCCGTTTCTTCTAAGTAGCACCACTGCTTGCACTCTCCGCACTCCACCATGTTCAGGTCCCCCTTGATCTTCTATGTTCTACTCATCGCCTAGTCACTCAGAAACCCGCACGTCTATCACAAAGAAAAAGCCCGCCGAAACCTACACAAAGACCGACCCAATTCTACCTTCTCATGGTTCGCCCGGCCGCCTAGGCTAACCCAAACCCCGTATCCTGCCGCTAATTAACCCTACCTCTATTATACCATGTACGCTTTAAACACCAAAATACCAAGAAAATGATGATAGTGATGAAAGTGGCCAGACTGAATTTCGGAAAGGGTCTAAAAGTGTTGCCCGCACAAGCAATTGTAGTAGTTCGACAGCGTGTGGTTTGCCCTTTTCACGGCCCCTATCCACGTTCTCGGACGAACCGAGCAGGCAGAAAACACGAAAACTGACCTTCAAACCTTCCCCGACTCTTTTGGTACAGCCCCCGTCGCGGCGTTTTGACGAGAAGGCAGATTTTTTGTCTGGTTTCTTCCAAAAGAACACAGGAATGCATGTCTCATACGGTGTCTTCCACCCACCGCCCCAGACCGGAAGTGCGCCCGACGAGCCACCACCGCGGCGTGACGTAACAGAGATGAGTTCCTGTTTAAAAGTATCATCCCTTTCCTTCTCGCCCAATGTACCAGCGTCCAAGACGCACTCCCCTATTCCCTTTACCCTGTACTATGGTCAATAAAGCGCTTTCAACAACAACAACCTGGAGGGCAGTACCGTGAGCAGCGAAGCGATTGGTTTGTACAGAGGCGTTCCCGACGTCAATCACCAAAACTTTTACGCTATTTGTCAACCAGTTTCTATCTTGTGCCCATAAAAACTGGAAGCAAGGTTTCTTCAAATATACTGATCATTGGAAGAGAGCGAAAATCAGCATCAGTGGTTACATGCTTCCTTTGCTTGCACCGTGAGTGCGAATTCTCAGCCTTCGAAACGGCGAACATTACATTAGGTTAGGCTCCGGAAAGACTGGAGGTCTCAACCAGAGTACGAGAGTTGGCTCCTGTCCGTGGACAGGAGCCAACTCTGTTGGTGTTAGACTAGTGGCAGCTGATAAAACCCGTTTGCTCTACTGACGTCTAACCCCTGGTTAGCTCAGTTGGTAGAGCGCTCCACTTGTAATGGAGAGGTCCCGGGTGCGATACCCGGACCAGGCGGATTTTTTCGGTCGCTCACCAGTCACCTAGCTGTGTTTGGAGATTTATGTTTGTCCCTTGCCCCTCTTGTTCCCCTTCTCCAGGGGTTATTTTCAGCATTTAAGTGTGGTTACTTTTCAGTGCAGCACAAATGTTATTCCACTGACTGCTATTTTTATGCCAACCAGCAGACTAGCTGGTTAGCTCAGTGTTGTGAATTTGTGTACATGTATGTACATTGTTTTCTCTAGAAAAACAATGTTACAATATATTGCATTGCTTGTCAGACTTCACATGGCGTTTTCTTTTGAACGCAAATTCAATCTTCTATAATTAGAAAAAAACAATATGTAGCCCTAAGAATATTTAGCCACAAAAATGAGATGAGCAAACAAAAAGTTAGCACGCAAACAAGCTGGTGAAGGTTTAACATTTTAGACAAAACCCCGAGACTGGGGGGAAAAAAGGACAACACAACACAAAGTCTCAACAGACTTTGTGTTGTGTTGTACTTTTTTCCCTCCAGTCTCGGCATTTTGTCTAAAATGAGATGAGCGATTTCAGGGGAGCATTCTGGATTTTGCGCAAGTAACCAGGCTGTTTTAAAACTTTTGTTTTTAATGGTCACACAAGACAATATTAAATATAACCTGAATAATTGCATCAAATGTTTTGTAGAAATTAAATATGCGGACTGCACATTTCGGTAACTGCTGGAAGTAACAAAGATAAGAAAAGGTGAGTAATGAAAAGTACTCCTTTTGGCGTTTTCCAGAGCAGTTGCCAGTCATGTGTCGCCCCCTTTCTTTCATTTGAAGCTGTGGACAATGGCATAGCCAGGGGAGGAGCTTATGAGGCTCCTCCCCCGGCTATGCCGCCAAAATCCACCAGACAAAATCTTTGGCGGATTTTGTCTTTCGGCGGCTTCATAGACTTTAATTCATAGAGTTTGGTTCATTCATCTGCTACATTTTTGATTATATCCCCATGGTAAAGAAATAAGCGTATCATTCCAAATTGCAAAGTTTTGTACCCACAAAGTATTCCCGAAACCCACACTCCGCAAAATTCGTGAAATATGGAGCCTGTATAGATGTCGTTTACCGTAAGTCCTTTCTTCGTTCCACACAGAAAGCAAAACAAGCAATGTCTTTCAACTAAAAAAAAAAGTTTATTTGAAATGAATCTTCGTATGGGAGCAGAGGAGACTATGAGAACAGCCAAGGGGAAGACATCATCGAGCAGAAAAGCAGCAACATGTAAGCACAAAAACGGCACAAGCGGCACCAGTCGCCTTTGCTTGCCTTCATCAAAAAGGAAACTCAGCGTCCAAAGTAGCAGCAGCGCAACTGTCACAATCAATCGGTCATTCTATGGCTCGATCCAAACAAGTTTGGAGGGAGGAGAGCTGTACTCGGCGCACAGAAAACATCTCAACAAGCTCGGGTCAGGAGGTGACAGCAGCAGGGGACAGTAGCACTTGGGGACTTTGCAGGGGGGGGGGGGGGGTGGGGGGGGAAGGCAAACTATTGGGAACAGCAAGAGAAATGCAGTGAATACTCTTCCCTGGCGAGGAAATGCAATCGTTGCTGGCATCGGCGGATGCCCTGTTCGCATGATACCATCCAACACCTCGAGATTCGGATACACATACACACTGACGCACCGGGGGGGGGGAAAATCGCGCATCGATCCAGCGTTACTTTGAAGACAGCTTTTCTCCATCACATATACAGCGCTACGACACACGGGCTTCACCACGAGGCTCTGAAAAAAAGAGATGATAAGAGAAAAGTGACACACGAGGCGGCTAGGCCGCGCACTTCGTCCAAAGTCTTTTGGGAGGGCGAAACAAAGGAGGAAGGTCCAAAAAGTCCGTTCGGGAGCGAACTTTTCTTCCCTCTTGGATTTGTTTCATCACAGTCTTCTTGCTTGCACGACATTCAGAAAAGCTGACATGTTTTTTTCTCTCTCCTCTTTCACACGCTGGTACAGATGGGGGTATCACACCGTGCCTGCACGGTAACGGAGGTGCCTTGCTGGCACTGTCTGCTACCGCGGCTATGGCTCATGAGACGCCCGTGAACAATGGGTCTGCAGTCACACACAAGCGAAATTGCCATTCGAGATGCTGTCATCTCTGCGGTGGGTTACTTCGAAAACTAGACCTTGGTAAAGTGAGAAACACATCAGCATGACTAAGCACAAAACAGCGGCAGAGCCAATCATGCCAATCATGGCAGCGGTCAAATAGGGTGCGGAGACCGGGAACTGTTTTGCTCGAGGAAACGGGCACGCAGCATCAGCAGCCTCATTGTAAGGCCGGTCTGCAAGTGTAATGCAATGAGACCGACCTCACAATGACCTCATAAGGTTATTCTAAGACCTTATATGAGGACCGCATGGCCACTACTTTGAGAAAAACAGAAGCCTCGCACATTCTTTTCTTCTGGCACTAGATGTCTGTGGCACTTAAAGAAACACCGGTACAAGCATACTTCATTTTAGAGAAACGAAGAGACGAGATGGTTTTTGAGCTTGATAATGTCTCCAATGAGAAAGCCAAAAGACAGGGTAAAATAAAACCAGCTTTGTTTGGTAAGTGGTAGCATGTCGCTTAGGCTTTCCTCTTGTTTCACACACGCTTGTCAGCACAATACACCAAAAAATGCATCCGTGTTTCTTTGCTCACGCATCGTGGCTACATACAGGTAAAAAATAAAAAGAGTACAAGTCATTATTCTATCGCAAGACTAGATGCGTAGTTCCACTCTACGAGACCACTCAGCCATTTATACCCTGCTTAGTATCGTCCAGACCCCAAGAAATGTAAACTAGTCAAAAAAACACACAAAAAAAAGAAAAACAGTAGTGTCTTTACTGGAATGAATTTCACCTTAAAACACACTTGCACATTTGCATCTAAAAAAAAAAAAAAAATGTTTAAAAGAAAGCAGAGGAAGTGTAGCTATCACAGAATTTGGTTCGAGAGGAAAATATCGAACCAAGGTATAAAGCATACTCACCCACATTAATTCCGACCAGGTTCTTTCTAAACACAATGCAACACAGAAATTTATCCAGTCAAAACATCATCTTCCAATAGCCCCTGTCTATTTCTTGTGCTCCACCCAACCACAGAGTCCTTACTGATTCGAGTGAAAAGCTAGTCATCTCTCTACCCTTCTTTTTTCATCCTTGCAAAGAGTGCAGTACAAACGTTTGAACAGGACGGATCCAAATTCTGTCTTTTCATCTTTGAAAGTGGAGCTTGCAACATAAGTCTTCACGTTGGAAATGAAATGGTCTAGCTCGACCGGAGCATCTGCTTCTAGTACGATACAACTGAGAAGCTCGGACAGAGCTAGCTGCCAATGTTAATAGACAATCGGAGAATCTTCACGAGCAATAGCGGGGGCCTCCCTCGACGGCTTCGCATTTTTCTTCGACATAAAAGCACCAGAATTCTCTACGCAACACCAAACAAAGGGAAAGACTGGACGTTCCCTCGCAGACACATACACTCATCACCATCATCGTTGTCACACACGTAGACAAACACGTCGTTAAACGTGACGACCATTGCGGCTCTATAAAACGACAAGACACTGGCCGGCAAACGCCGACAATGAAACATTTTCATTTTCGATTTTCCTTCTTAGAGAAGAATGTGCCATGGCTGCGCACAACCACGGCGGACCACGCAGAAACGCTCGAGCTGCCCCGCCCGGGCTCTCAACAGACGCTCGGGAAGGACAGACAACAGAGGGGGTGGGGCGAGACGCCTAGTCTTACTAGGATCGCCCAAACGAGGAGGGGGAACAGAAACCTTTGGGAGAGAGAATGCGTAGCGCCACACACGCCAGACTCCTCGTCCTCCGTACGTATACAGGAAGGCCGGCTGCGAGGCCGACGGGAAACTTTGCTGCATCCACGCGGTTTCCACTTTGCGGAAGAACCGACGACGACTCGTATTGCATTCGACCGGCACACCCGCCGATCGGGGCGGGTGGCTTTTCGGGCGAGCCTCGAAGGCCGCCCGCGCGTAGCAACCTCAGAGAGCGCTGCCAACGTCCGTCAAAAGTCTGCAAGGGGGAGACAGGTCCGAACCAATCCCCCCCGTCCCAACAACCGAAGGTCTGCATAACCAGAAGAGCAAGACACGACTCCTCCGTCCAAAGGATCCCTCGCGTAACGAAGGAGTGTGCGGGTCAGACGTCCGCCCGGCCTGCTCCCACTCCTCCTCGTAGCACTGCGTCGGTTCGGTCGTCTGCCTTCATAAATAACTAATGCCAAAACGGCCACTAGAACGAGGAGAGAGTGGCCGACGGGACTTCGACGAGAAATTGCCAATTCGGAAACGTTGGGTGTCGTAATTGGAAATAAATACTTTAAAGGAGCCAAATACGGAAGTCTCTTCCGTTAAATGTTGCACGGTATAAAAGACCGACGCAAGCATAAACTAGCCGTTTCGAGATCTAGCACCCTCTTGATCCACCGTTTAAAAATTTATTGAACGAATTAGATCACTATAAAAAAAAAGACAAAAACATTTTATTTTATGAAGAACCTAGAATATTAGCTTACTTTTAGCCCATCTCATCGAAGAGTTTGTACAGCCGTTTCTTTCAGACCTGTCCGTTCGGACCGGCTCATTTTGATTGACGGACTCCCGTGCAGAGAGTGCCACCCCTCCTTCCCCTCAAACCTCTCTCCAACAAACAAAGGAACAAATCAACTCTAGCCAGGACTAGCAGGGAAACAGTTTGAACTCATCCAGTGTCCGGCGGATGCCACACTTAGTGGCAGACCGCATCCTTTTGCTTTTGGTCTCCTGGAAACGCACTTGTAAACGTGCGAAGGCAAAAAAAAAAAAGTCAGACAAAAAAAAGAAAATAGCCTGTGTAAAAAAACAAACCAAAATAAACAACCTCACTGCACCTCGTTTTTTGATATCATCATATTTGCATTTCGCTTTCCACAAAGCTCGACAACAGTGTTCCCCCCCTCTAAGCACAACCTGTCAAAAAACGATCAGGTCTCGAAAACGACTGACTTGACAAAACAGAAACCCTCTCTACTCCTCCTCCAACTTGTAACTCGGTGACTACGAAAACCGCCCATCAAAGTAAAGACGACAGTTAGGCCCTCGAAACAAAGGGGGCATCGGCAACCGGTGTGCCATGGCTGTCTTCGTCACGGCTCCTGACAGACGTGGGCGGAAGGAAGGAGAGCTACAGGTCGAAAATGTTCCTTCTTCGAAAGATTGTCGTTCGTCCAGCAACGCAAGAGGGACAAGGCAAAGCAAGGCTCGAAAAAGCAAAGAATGTTCCAAGTGCAAGGGGCAGATTCACCAAACGAGGGGAAGTGATTATTGCACAAAAAACGCCAACACGAACAGTGCTGCCAGGGGGTGGCGTTTTGATTTCATTGCAGCGTCTGTGCTGCCAGCAGCAAGGAGCTTCTTGGAGCTTTATGCTGGCTGCGGTGTTCAAGGTTTCTCAAGGATATAGACAATGCCGAGTTATCAGACCGCGTCGAGGGAGGCTGTCATCAAACAGCTTGGCACCGTACCCAAGCCGGCTTCCAAACTGCACCAACCGCCACCCCCGGCATCACCGCCTCATGGAGCGGAGAAGCCTCCAGGGCAGACAATGCAGAAAGGGAGCCAAAGGCCAAAACACACTGCAGGAAGTAAGGTCGCTCATCCTCGGCTCTTACCGAACACCCCGTTACCGTGTGTCCGCTGTGACCCTAGCCTGACGCAGTCTCTTTTGACAGTCTTTCCGCTTTATAATGCTTACGTGAAACAGACAGTTATGGGTATGATTCGTTTACAGACAGCAGCAATGATCTGACGACAGGTTAAGCAGGCAGGGAAACAGACCGACACAGAGGGAGCCGAGATGAGTGAGGAGACACTGCAGTGGTGGCAGTGGCAGCAGTGGCCGAGGCACCCAGATAACGAGAGAAATACACCGACCCACGCCACGAAGTACAGTAAAGTAGAAAAGAAAATGGCCCGCTCAGCAATGCTACCACCGTGATTTTTTTTTCCTTTTTTTTTTTTTGAAACTGTGCCAAAACTCGGCTCAGGAAAGTTTCAATTCTGTGTGGTACGAAGTCTTGGGAATATTATTGTTATTGTTGTTTTCACAAAAAAAAAAAAAAAAAAAAAACCGAAGAAACGACGAGAAAAATAAGAAAGCAAAAAGAAAGCCAGGCAGGAAACGACAGACATCACCTTAAAGAAGAATGAGGGAAAAGAGAGAGGGGGCAGGAACTCAACAGCAGGTCGAAAAGACATCCATGCGCAGAACCGACACACTGCGAAAAATTGAACGGAAAAAAACGATAAGGAACTAACACGGACGAACACGACATCATGAGATCCAAGGGGCATAAAAGAAGTGGGCCATTAGATAAAAAAAAGAAAAGGATCCACCCCAAAAACCGACGAGAATACTCTGCCAGGTAAACGAAACGAAAAACAAAGAGTGGTAAAACCTATCCGGCAAGAAGAGAACGGCACCGAAAGAAATATAAGAGGATTTCTCGCTTAAAACTCCAGTGAGTGAGAGAGAGAGAGAGAGAGAGAGAGAGAGAAAGAGAGATAAGAAAAAGTCAAAAGAAAACGATCACAGATTTTTTTTTTTTTTTCGTTGGTGCCTTGGCACGGAATTCGCCACATGGGGGTCGAGGACCCCAGACCCCAAACGCGACGTCTCCCGTAGCGGCGGCATCGCAACCAGACAATGTGCATGGCCCCCATAGAGTCGGTTTAGGGTGGCACATGCACCCACCACTCCCTCCCCGTCTTTGAACTCAGCACGGAGCGACTTCTGGGTGGAATTGGCAAACCACCCTCCCTCACGAACACATATGAGAAAAGATGACATCGCCTCCGTCATCGTTTCTCCGTTCGTCTCCCCAGCCCTCGGCGGTGTGAGCGTGTCAAAGGAGGGCACAGAGAGACGCGAGACTGAGCCGGACTTCGCAGGCACGCCCGCCGTGAGCAGAAGGTTAACTCCCGACGCGGGAACCGAAGGACACTCGCGGGATTACCCTGTCCAGAACGCAGAAGGATAATGACGGGTGTGCGGGGAACGAAAGGCATGCCAGATAAACCCTATGTACAGCGCTAGAGCAGAAAGAAGGACCGCTTACGGTTTTACATCCGTCCTCGCGACGATAGACGACAGAACAGAGAGCATGATCTGGAGGGAGACAAAATAAAATAACTCGAGAGAAAGAAAAAAAAAAAGAACAGCAACAAACCAGCATTTTTCGGGCTCCGTTCCCGGAGTCGAGTCTTGAGCAAAACCCATTCGGTGCAGGCAACAACCCACCGCAGCTTCCGGGAGAGACAGACACGGCCGACAGTTCCAAAGAGAAAGGGGGAGGCTGGGGGAGTCCCAACGTGCGCACAGTTTCAGGGTCAAAGGGTCCCCCTGCAAGCCACACCGGAGACCCCCACGTGGGGGGCGACAGAGTCAGCGAGGGTCGCCCCCCACGGCCGTCACTCCCGGTCGTAGGCCGCAGTGGCGGCGGCGTCACTCGAGGAGCTGCGAGAAGTCGGGGTTGCTCGGCGAGTGGAATGAGTCTCCCGTGCCGAGGTGGTGTTGCTGCTGCTGCTGCTGCTGCTGGGAGGGCTGCTGCTGCTGTTGTTGTTGCTGCTGCTGTTGCTGCTGCTGCTGTTGCTGTTGTTGCTGCGCCGAGGTCTTGTCCTCGGGCGAGGCGCCCCCCGACGCGCTGTGAGGCTGGTGCTGCGGCGAGCCCGCCCCCAGCAGTGCCAAGCGCGATGCCAGGGGCGGGTGATGGAGCGACGACGGGTAGGGGGGCGCCTGGAACCCGCCGTCGTAGTGCCGCGGGTGCACCAGCCAGCGCGGGGAGTGTGGTGGCCCAGGGGCCGGGGTGGGCGGCGCCGAGTAGAAGGGCCGGGGGTCCCCGTGGCCAGAGCCCGGCGAGGAGTCGTCTCCCCGTCCGGGCGGTCCGCCCAACTCAGGGCTCAGGGGCGTCGGGGGCCCACTGCCCCTGGCGGGGGACTTGTCCGGCGGCGCCTTGGGCGAGGCCTGCTGGGCCGACGTGGAGGCGAGGGCAAAGGCTGCGGCGGCGGCGGCCAAGTGTGGCCGGTGAAGGAGACCTCCGGTGACTGCCTGGGCGGCGCGTGAGCCCCGCGAGCCGTAGCGGCGGGGCGGCAGCTGGCCCGTGTGACGCTGCATGTGCGTCTTGAGGTTCCCCTTCTGGGAGAACGTTTTGCCGCAGAGAGTACACGGAAAACGGTCCTCCTTGTTGTGCGTGCGCATGTGCGTCTGCATGTTGCCCTTCTGCGAGAAGCACTTTCCGCAGACGCCGCACGCAAAGGGCTTCTCCTTTGTGTGCACGCTCCGCACATGGGTTTTCAGGTTTCCTTTCTGGGTAAAGCGTTTCCCGCACGCCTCGCAGCCGAAATCCTTCTCGCCTGTGTGGATTTTCATGTGGGTGTCCACGTTGCCCTTCTGGGTGAAGCTCTTGCCACACACCTGGCAGGAGTAGGGCTTTTCCCCCGTGTGGATCATCATGTGTGTCTTGAGGTTGCCCTTCTGCGTGAAATACTTGTGGCACACTGGGCACAGGAACTGCTTGGTGGGCGGCGGGCGGGCGCGGGGGGGGCCCCCGGGGCCTCCGTGACCGTTGGCCCGCTCCAGCAGGGACTGGGGCTGGCAGGGCCCCACAAGCTGTCCGCCGCCGTGCTGGTGTTGTTGCTGCTGTTGCTGCTGCTGTTGCTGTTGCTGCTGCTGCTGCCCCAGCAGGGGGCCCTTGCGTTCCCCAGGAGGCAGGCCACCCCCGAGAGCCCCCGGCATTCCGCCGGCGGCGCCCCGGGGCCCCGCCCCCTCGGCACCGCGCAGGCTGTTGCAAAGCGTCAGGTACTTGTGACACAGGTCGCACGGGTAGGGCTTGTCCTTGGCGTCCGGGTGGGGACACTTGTGGTGGCCGTGCTCCGCCGCAGCCGCAGCCGCGGAGCCCAGAGTTGACATCTTCTCCAGGTAGCTGGAGGCGGCCGCCAGCTGGGAGATGCCCGTGCCGAAATGCAGCGGGTTCTTCTTCAGGAACAGGTTGGTGAGGGAGGCCTGGTAGCCTGGTGGCCAGCTCTTCTGGCTCAGGGCGGGGGGCGCCCCCACCCACGAGTAGGCACCGTTCTGCATCGCCCCACCGCCGCCTCCCCCGCTGCTCGTGGGGGGGCCCCCGTAGCACTCGGGGGGACCCCCCGGCTGGCTGGCGCTCAGCGACATGCGGCGCTCCAAGGGAAGCTCCAGGGCTCAGGGGTGCGGTTGGCACCTGCGAGCAGAACAGCAGGCTTCAGTGGCACCAACCGTGTACGCACAGAACTAACAAACTTGCAGCCACAAATCCCTACGAGCTATCTCACGGTCAGCTACCTCGATGTGGGATTGGAACACTTGACACATCGCGCGAGTCACTTACAAAATCAAGTCAGACAGTTGTGCGTCATCTAGCAGGAAAGCATTTTCCTCCCCCATTTTGTGACAGATATCCTCTGTTGCTGTGTAAACATTTAGGACAAATTACTTCAACATTCCTCTTGTATAACATAGTCTCATGTTTAATTAATGCTTCCACAAGATTAGTTTTTTTTTTTTCTTTTTTTAAGTCCTCTAGAGAATCGCTACTAAAAAATGGCAACTAAGAAGGTTGCAAACAGTTGCAAGTTCCTTAGTGTGTTATTTTAAGATGCACTAAAAAGAAAGCTGGGTGGTGCATCAGTGCATGGTTGAACTAGGTTATGCATAAATTAGTGCTTGCACAGTTAGAACACTTTACGTATGAGTAGCAATCAAGAGCATTGGTTGTTCGAGGGACCGCTGGGTATACTCAGTGACACTCCTAGTTTCACAGATATTCTGTATAAGGTGTCTCAATGCTCAATTGCCAGCCCCTACTCACTTCATAGCAGTGTTGCGGAGTTGCCACTCTGGAGTTAGAATGATTCCACAACCATTCCACACTTTCCCGACCCCGGAATGGAATGGGAATACAATGGCGGCATTGCTGGGGGGAATGGAATGGAAATGGAATTAAATCCCTTTTGTCCGGGATGAACTGGGAATGGAATGGGTATTCGCTATTATATTATGCGAGCTGTGTCGATTTTCATCTAGGGCCTATGGGCCGATGGCGCTATTTGCTAGCGCAAGGTAAGCGGCTCTTAAAACAGCATCAATGCAATGGAGGCGACTGATGGCTTTATTGTCTCACTGGCTTATGCCCCTTAGAGAATGAAAATGGCACGCCCTCCGTGAAGCAACCAAAACTGAATAGTTCTAGACGAACAAGCAGTTGTTGCTGGCCCTGCGAGACATGATGAGGCGGCTGTTGTAATCATGAGCGATTAGCATGCGGCTTTTAGCCAGGGTGTTGAACCGAACCAAAAATCGGAGCAGAGCCGTTATTTTAACTGAACCGGAACAAGACTGTAACCGAAATCAAACATTTGATATTGAACCTTGACCGGAACAGAGCCGTAATCTCATCTGCCGGTTACTGATTCATTGGAACCGGTTCGGCGTAATGAAACCTGAGCTGCACCTTCTTGCAGGCGGCGGCACAAAGTCAACTAAACTGGTGGTACAGTCCCTTGTGCTGGCGCCTTCTAACGATTGCATTTTGTCAGCGGTTTTCTGTTCTTGCCGCGGTGCATGGAGATTTGGGGTTCCCCAGGAACACCTTGCGTCGCGTCAACAGCGCGTCAGCGGTGCCGTTGCGAGTATTTGAAGCAGAGAGCAAGAGAGGTTCTTCTTCTGCTATCCACGAACTAGAGATTTTTAAGGCCTAATCAAACAAACAGCACGCTAAACATGTATCTGTGGAGGGTATACGGTCCATTTGCGAAGAAAATGGGTGGTTTTAATTGTTTGCCTCTGTTGCGACTCGCGAGCCTTTTATGCTTGATATCAATGTCTGCAGTGACACTAAGTGCCACAAAGCGCATTGTGCGACCACTCTTCGGCTTAGTAAAATGAATGATTTGAGGAAGCTTTTGCATACTTTTGCAGTCGTCTCCACATTTGCAAACACCAAAAGCTTCATGCTTCCTTTTTCCAGTAGCAATGTGGCTGTTAATGGCCATTTTTTCACATTTAGGAATTAGAGGAATGGAATGGTGGAATTCAGCCATTCCAGGAGTGGGAATGGTCCCAGTGTCTCCATTCCGAGGAATTGAAAGGAATGGAATTGTCGGAAACTTTAATTCCTCGGAATGGAATTGGAATGGAATGGGGGGTGCCCATTCAGCAACACTGCATCATAGTAAATTTGACAGTTGCATTGCCCTGATCCATTTTTTATTATTTTACCGAGAGAAGGGTCACTTGAAAGCAGCAGTGATTCGGCTTTATTGCCACTCCATTAAAGTCAGACGTAGTGGTGCTTTAAGAGAGATTGCGGAACGAAAATGCAGTTATGTCCCACTAATGCAACACTCAGTAAACCGTATTTCTACTCACTGAAATGTTTTAACAATTCAATATTACACTGTATGCTCGCTGCTTCTGCCTTTAAAGAAGCGAGAAAGAACTGCAATTGGGGCCCGAGAGAGGCTTACATAGAGCGGTAACAAGAAAAAGTTGTATTGAGGAGCTAGCAAAACGGCAAGTCATTGCCCTCTTGATCCACAACATTTTACTCCTTTTTGACTCCTAATGTAACCAAGGACTAGGTATAAACATGCATCCATGTTCCTCTGAATGCCATCTAAAAATTCGCTACAGAAGAAACATAGATGCAGTACACCCCTACAATTCATTCACTCCTAAGCTGGGACTGCGGTGGGAGCTATGTGCCCGCCAAATCAATCAGCCGCCTCCCTTTCATCAGCTAACGTGGCTCTCTGTGCGTGGGCATGGGCAGCAGTGTGATCAGAAGGCGAAAGAGAGATGTATGACTGATCCTACAAGGATGTAGCTTGTACGACAGTGTCAGCTTAGGGGTGAACAGATTGTACTGATCAGCAATGACATAGCTGATAAGCTTGGTTCTGGCCAGACTAAAAGGACATGCAGGTCCTACTCTCTCTTCAGTCAGCAGTGTGCAACTTCAGGGTTCCCACGGTGCTTTCAGAGAAAACTGCAACGAAGTTCAAAGACATGGCGACAGCTTCTATGTGGCCAAGCAATGATTGCCCCCCCATCATTCTAATATGGAACAATACTCTATAATGTTTCAAAGGGATCTTCTGAGCAGCTTCCACAGCATCTATTATCACTACTGACGATGCCTTGCCCCTTTTAAATTCCAATCTCTGTAGTTTCTTTTAGGGCCGCTTGGCTCTCTATCATAAGTCGGCACACTTGTATGCTACTCTTCGTCAGAAGTTGAAGCAGTGTGCTTTCGAGCTTAATTTTGTTCTGTGTACCACATCGTCGATTCCTTCGGTGATGAGGCACCTTTTTGTTGGAAAGATTAGAAGGTTTCAAAGGCCTCTAGACATCCATTTTCGTATTTGAGAGCTCTCAGGGGCCCATGGGACCTCTCTGCACCTTTTATCACTCCCCTAAAGTCGACGTCCCCCCGCTGCTGCTCACCAGAGGGTGCCCGGAAGCAGACGTATGTGATCCTCTTCAGCCCCCAGGCGCCCCCCTGGCAACATGGCTTCCCAGAGGCTTCCCCTTGGTCCTCCCCTGCAAGCGCAACAAATGGGACAGGCCGTCAGCATTGCGGGCACCTGCACGCACCTGTGAGGTGTCGGCAAGAGAAACTAGTGATGCGAAGAATAAGGTGCCAACAGTCTTTAAAGTAGTACCACCAAAGTGTTAGAAATTATTCTTGGATGCCGTTGACGAGAAATCGGTGTCTGTTATGGCAGCAGACATCTGCCTCCGTGCACATGCAGGTTCTGCTAAAAATACTGCCAAGCTCACGCCGAGCTTTATAGTGGCACTATTTCTCTCTGGGAAATCAAAGGCAGAGCCTCTCCCACAGTTTTCATGTTGAAACAAAGAGGTTCTAAAATTTTGGAATCTGACCCAAAAGTGGGAGAGTTTAAGATCTTACCCGCAATGCGCGATAGTCTATTTATGCCGTGAGGGAAACGCACTTCACCACAATTACGGTGGCTATAAGGGGAGGTGTGCCGAGCAGAAAATCGATAGCATGCCACTTGTTCATGACGCCGGTGGCACCGGTACCCTGTGCCTGTTGCCATCGGGCGGCGCACAATGGCACCAAGCGTAGAAGTGTGTCCTGCATGGGCACGCGCAGTATGAAATGCTCTCGTGCCCCGTGACGCTTCACACCACGCCACTTCCAGCAGAAATGCACCGGTCTCCTGGCTACAGCGCCACTTTTTCGTCATGAAGCGGCGGCACGTGGAACTACCCATAAACGCAGAGTGCTCGGTACAACTACCCCTATAGCCACCGTACCACAATGACTTTTACTCAAGACTGGGGCAGGAGAAGGAAGAAGTTTCTTTTTTTTTTTTTTGTTGTAAACTTCCACCAGCTCGCTTGCACATTGACTGCAATTTCGCAAATGCCCTTTGTTTTTCTTGCAAGCTTCTAATGCAAACAATGGTGTACTTCAACGATGTGGCGCATCCTTGCTTTACTCCGAAGGCATGTGACTGAAGCTTGTGGGAACCATGGGGTTTCCTATATCCCTATCCAGGCCTAGCTTCGAGCAGGCCGTGGGAGTCGTCGTCACCAATGGCGTCGGCCTCCCGGATACAAGGAACCACAACTTTTTTTTTCTTTTTTTTTTCCCCCTTCAAAGTACTGACTATGAAATATTGACAGGTGTTGTCTGTGCCAAGTTTGAATAGGTCTCATACCTTAGATATGTTTCATAAGATGTCCGTTTATATAATATATTTAGTGCTTAGGTTCGATATAGGTGACCCTTCGATTGGTACGTGTCCTAACACTTGGAAAAAGCTGCGGTATTTGCTGATTACAAACTTTTATTGACTTCTTTTGAAATTTACTGACATCAGAGTGTGAAATTGCGTGTCCCAAAAGCCAAAATCTCTCCTTCAAACAACCAGTCATCAGTTCCATGACTGAGTTATCATATGATGAAAATGAACACTTTATGACCATAGGGATGTGCATCTCTATATCAACCTTCTAGTCCTTGAAGTTTTTCCTGCAAAAATATTTCCTTCTTCATTTGTATCAAACACTGATAGTACCCGGAAGTCGTGCAGCACGACTTCCGGGTACTATCAGTGTTTGATACAAATACCAAACCGAGCAGTATGTTATTTAAGGCGATAACCGAAAGCTCCGAAAACTCCAACAGACATAACGTAACGATCCGGCCGTGGAGCTATTATTATATTTTCAATATTAATAAAGTAAAATTATGTTTTGGTGCAATGTTAGCGCAAATTTGTCCCATTTTGCCAATCACATCACGGGGGTTGTTAGGTTAACAAAGCCGTCTCCACTGCCGCTATGCAATGTCGCATTACATAAAATAATGCAATGTGTGCACCTTGCTAAGCGACCTTGGTCACAAGGTAGATAAAAATGTGTAAATGTCCAAAATTAACCTATAATAAGAAGTGAAGAAGGAAATATTTTTGCAGGAAAAACTTCAAGGACTAAGAAGGTTGATATAGAGATGCACATCCCTATGGTCATAAAGTGTTTGTTTTCATCATATGATAACTCAGTCATGGAACTGATGACTGGTTGTTTGAAGAAGAGATTCTGGCTTTTGGGACACGCAATTTCACACTCTGATGTCAGTAAATTTCAAAAGAAGTCAATAAAAGTTAGTAATCAGCAAATACCGCAGCTTTTTCCAAGTGTTAGGACACGTACCAATCGAAGGGTCACCTATATCGAACCTAAGCACTAAATATATTATATAAACGGACATCTTATGAAACATATCTAAGGTATGAGACGTATTCAAACCTGGCACAGACAACACCTGTCAATATTTCATAGTCAGTACTTTAAAGGGGAAAAAAAAAAGAAAAAAAAAAGTTGCTTCAGCAGCATGTTGAAGTTGAAGAAAATTTGAAACTTCTTTTTTTCCATAATTTATTTTTTAGTCAGGCGTCTACGAAATTGCCTCTCTCAAATTCCCCGACTTTTCCAGGTCTTCCCCGAATATTTCGATTAAATTCCCCAACCATTACAAAAGAAGAAAATGCAGAGGATGGTGTTTCAGCAGCTGTTTGGGCTGTTCCCATTTAATCCGGTGAATCGGGTGGTGGCTTATTCTGCCCAGTGATTCCTCGGACATGTTGCTCAGTGCAAAGGCCATTCACGTCAACGCACGCCACACCCTCCCGTGTCGCTGCAAAGCATGTTCCGGCCTTTTGTAATATTCTATGTTGTATATAATAAGATAATTGAGAAGAATGTATGACTGGTCTGCCTAGCTATCGCTAAAATTTGGGGATTGAACGGCATAAAGAAAATTCTAGAGACAACAATCGTCACAACTCCGTCACCCACCCGCAACGAGCAGTTTACAGTGCGTTTTTTTTTAAGTTTTACAGATTTGTTTAAAAAACTGCATGAAAGCTATACTATTATAATGTGTTTTGTGCAGGTGCGTCATACAGCCAGGTGAACATAATATAGGGGCTAATTATCACGGTAAGTTGGTCAATTAACTAACATTTGTTAATTATACTTTTAATTAATGATAAACACATGGTTAGATATCACTCACATTTTTGCATCGGCAGCCTGCTTTTCCCACACACTTCAGATCTTTCTCAAATTGGCTGATAAAGTAGTTTTCGATGGCGCTCAGCAAGTTTCTAATTGAAATCACATGTTTATTTTCACTAATTAAAACATTAATGAACAAGTTCTAGTTAATATATGAAGCATGGTGTAAGGCGCAAAAAACAATGGACGTAAGGAAGAGGACACACATACAGGTTACACTCACAGCTATATTTGAAAAGTGCAGAAAAAAATACATATCTCGTCTCTTTCATCAAGTTTATGCATGACTGGAAATACGCGCTAGATCATCCATTCACGAAAACTTTAAAAAAAAATCTTATCTGACCATTAAAGAGTGCTATAGATGTTTCAGGTAAGCCTTGTGCTCCCCTTTTTGTGATAAAGTGCTTTCTGGCTCTTGCCCTTATTCAGAATCGCTGTCTCAGATTTGAGGTGACGAGATAAGTATTTCCTTTCTGCATTTTTCAAATATAGTTATGAGTGGCACCCGTGTGTGTGTCTTCTTCCTTGTGTCCACTGTTTTTTGTGCCTTACACCATGCTTCATAACGTCCACCAACTAGCCCAACTACAAGTTCTTCTAGGTAATTATCCAACTTATCCTGGCGATTAGCCCCAATACCATGTTTCCCTGGCCGTGCAACTCACCTGCACACACCACATTAGAAATGATTTCACAACTTTTAAAGTAAGCCGTTTACAACTCCCTGTAACGACGAATTAGAGTGCAGCTCTTGAGGAGGAGAAGGGGAAGGTACGCGGAGAGGAGACTATGCCCCTCCTCCTCTCCTGCTCGCCTCCCATTTAGGGGAAAATTTCTGCTAAATTTAGTGGGAAAAATTTTCCGCTAGATATAGCGGGGGAAATTTCCCGCTAGATATAGCGGGGAAAGTTTCTTGCTAAATTTAGAGAGTAAAATTTCCCGCTAGATTTAGCGGGGAAAATTCACCGCTAAACTTAGCGGGGAAATTTTCCGCTAGATTTAGCGGGGGAAATTTCCCGCTAGTTTTAGCGGGGAAAATTTTCCGTTAGATTTAGCGGGGAAAATTTCCCGCTAGATTGAGCGGGGAAAATTTTCCGCTAAATTTAGCGGAGAAATTTACCCATCATGCACCGCGCGGTTACGCCGACGCTGATGGCGACGGCGACGCCGCTCAAGCCGGAAACGGGCGCCTAAAAACCTGCGCTCTAAAAAAAAAAAAAAAAAAAAAAAAAAAAAAAAAAAAAAAAAACTTTTCAGTGAAATTGACGGCACTTGGCGTTTAAAGCAGAAAGCTGTGGCGGCAGGTTGCCAGCCTTCTCCAGTAAATCAAATATTCAGTGCTTGGCGGTCTAAAGACGAAGCAGTGAAGCAGACTTTCTAAGGTCAACAGCGGACGTGTTCGCAGACAACCGAAGTCGCGATGACCTAAACTTGTGGCGCCATCTCCCGACAAGAACAGCAAACAAACGACGCATTCTTTCGTCTACTCGCTGCGCTTATCGGGAGGTGGCGCCACTAGTTTTAGATGTAGGGGCCTCACAGCCATCGCCTATTATCACCTGGGGAGACTATATTATACCCCTGTCAGACGGCAGCTAAAATGGCATTTACACCAAATGACATTCAGTGTAAATGTCATTTAGGCACTGCCACACGGCAACTCAAATGGCATTTAACCTAAATGCCATTTCGGGTAAACAGAGTTCCCCAAACTCATTTACGGCTCGCAAAGCGTACTCTCGATGGCAGCGCTCGACACATATTACGGGATTGTTTTAAAAAAAGAAGGCATATATTACGGAAACAATTTTTACATCGTTTTAATTACGAAAATAATTTCTTTAACGCGTATTTCGCACGCACTTTACGTTCCTAATTGTTTAACATACTCACGACTCCAGTTATCCAGTAGGCCTAATGGCTCTGAACCGCTGAACCTGTTGCGTGCGCGCCTAGGTCGGCTCTCGGTTGTTGGTTACACT